ATTCCTTGTCCCATAAAATGCATTTTAACAGGAAGAAAAAGCTATAGTCAAAGTTCAGCAGAAAACTGAAGCATGCTCACCTGCCTCATTATGAAAGCATGTTAGCTGCATGCAGTCATGAATAAGCTGTGTCTGTACATAGCCCAAACAGAATCTGCAGCACCTTGGAAGAAAAATTAAATTAAATTCACCTCTTACGTGGTAAAGCAAACCTGTTCTAGCTTGCTGGGTCGGTAAGATCAGAACAGTGCATGATTTAACATTAACAAGCCAGCAAACTGGAGGAACCAGGAGAAATTCAGACGCAGGAAGAGACTGGGTTCATTCTACATATGACCTCCTATTAGGAGTGTAATCACCTGTTGTTCCTCATTACCTCTTCCTCTGCTCACTGGTAAAAGGCAGTTCAGACATTGTCATAGCAAACTATTCTTTAGACAGGACTGTTATTCCCTATCACCATATGGGAAGCCAGGGCAGGGCATCTTTGGTGGGGTGATTAAAATCAGGTAAGAATTGGAACCCAGCTGCCTGTACTCCCAAAGGGTTGGTCTGGACCAAAGGAGCCTGTATTTTTCCTGGAGAAACTTCTTCCAGAGACTCTGTTTATTCTTCTAGAAACACCTTTCCTGTTCAGAGTGCTAAGTCAACAGCAGCTAATGAATTCTGTCGGAGGGAGGAGCAAAATTCTTGGTGGAGAGGAGTAGAAAAGGGGCAATGTGTTATTTTTCCCCAGCACGATTGACATATCAATGGAGTGATCTGCACCTAGATGCTTAACATGTCACAGCCCTGGCTAACAGCAGGACTATATCCCACAGCTGTTTTAGGGGAGTTCCCCCCTCAAATAGAAGTCATCTTTTTATTACCTGTTGTGTTTTGTACACATCTGCATATTGTCACTTTGTTCCTTTTGTCTCTCATTTCTTTAAGGAGACTTATACTGAATGCATTCAAGGCATGGAGGCAGTACCGATTGCTGATGAAAAAGGAAAGGGAGAGAGAAGAAAGGAGAAACCAGCTACGGAGGAGAGTAGCTGAAATTCTCCCCAACTTCCAAACCTGACAAAAGGGAGTCAAAGGAGATGGAAGGGAGACAAACAACCAAATTTCTGTTCAGTGCTATCTCCCTGCTGACTGACACAAGTCCAAGGAGAAGGCCTGCCAAGTGACAGCCAAAGAAAGCTCCCTGCGGTCACTGTTGTTGTAAACTAAGCATATATGGAAGCTTATCTGACAGTTTCACTTTGCACTTCACGAGGTCATTCCCCACAAGCTCCTCATGTGAAGCCTCTGTAAGGGTGTCTTGGTTGGTGGCTGTGAAGCCTAGGTAACCAAAGTCTAGCACGGGGTGTGTTTGAGGCCAAGGCCATTTCCACACACAGAGCTGCGGCACTAACAGGAGTCCTCCGCCAAAGGAAGCACAGGACTGAACTGCACCACTTTTTCCTTAAGCAGTAACCTGGTGTATTTCTGTTGCCAGTACTCTATAGAGTGAGAGCTCACTCAGAGAGCAGACAGACCTGACTGTCAGCTGTGCCCCAACCACTGCTGCAAACTTGGCCACCCAGAGCACAGTTTCTGGCTAACTGTGCCACAAAAGTTTGGATGGGAGGAGGAGAGGGAAGAGCTGTTTATGGAAACCATATTTGCTAATGATCCAGATCATTGCATGGCACATGGATAATCTAAAACCTGGATTCTTTTTTGAGGGACTACCTTGCTGGCAGCACTGGCCAGTTCACAAGCACAGTGCTTTGACTGTGGTGGCAAGTGGTGATTCCAAGTTTATGAGCCTCATTGTCTTGTAATTTAAACACTTCCCAAACTGTTTAACTGTAGTATTTCAGGGTGTATTGTGCAAGTCTGTCTGGGATGTTTCACTTGATCCAGTACTTCAAAGAAAAAAAGACAAAAATCCAAGAAAAAGGCAGATGTGTTTTTTATATAAGCTAAAGCTGACATGATTAAAATGAAGATTTCTTACTTAACCTTAACCTGCAGCATAATGCAGACAGTGTAGTGTTGTTCAGATACAGAATGTCTTAGCAACAGCATAAGGGCAGGAAGATGGAATCACTTCCCCCTCATAAGATAGGCAAAGCTCTCTCAAAAGCATTTAGCAGTAGAGGAAGCACTTGAGTAACACCAGGAAGAGAAGACAACAGTTTACTGTTATGTTGTGTCAGATCATTTGTAAAACCCATATAAGCACTGAAAGTTTCCAATAAACTCCAATCTGAAATGAACACAACTGAGCTGGTGGTGCAGATTCTGTGTCAGAAGTCAGCTGAATGGCTCTAGACAGAAGTCCAGGGTCAGGAACCTAGACCAGCACTAAGCACTGCAGATAAAGATGACCTGCATAGGATAGGTCAGGTGCCCAAGCGCAGCAACAGGCTCCAGAGCTTTAGCTTTGGGAATTTGTCCACGTGGACAGCTCACAGGGATGTGGCCAGAGACCCTCCCTGCCCACACATGCCAGGCTGTCAAGCAGGCTCTTGGTGCAGGTCTGAAAACAACTGTCACTCCCAGGTTCCCTCCCACATCCATCCTCTACAACACATGAACGTTTACCATCTCCTAAAGGCTCTTTACAAACCTGACCACCAGCAGGTCAGACGAGCACATTATCCAAGTGCAGGGAGCTGAAGGTGCCTGCGTGGAGTGTGGGCGAGTACAGACCATCTGGCTACATTCAAAGGCAGATTGTGAGAGGAAGTGACAAGCTGAGAGAGGGCTGAATAACTTGTCTTGCAGCGAAGAACAAGCACTGCAGAAGGGTAGTGTTTTTCTCCCTGAGCCAAACAGGCAGGGAGAAGCAGAGCTGGGGGCTGAGCTACCCAAATAATGCCCCAGTGCAGCCAGCAGATACACTTGGTGCTAACAGCAGCACACTGTGGCAGCACAGCAATCCACTTTCTCTTAGTACAATCCTCCCCTTTGGAAGCCTCTGCCACGTAGAGCCTAACAAGCTCCTGGAATACCTCTGAGCCAGCCCTTATGCTCCCATTTTACTGGTGGCCTTTTCCCAAGCTCACTTCCTCCTTAGTGAGGCTTGACAACAAACACAGCAAAGAAAATCTCCAGCCCACCTTCCATCCGGATTCACGGCGTAAGCAGGATAGTGACCCAGAGGACAAAAGGCAGAGTCACATCCTTCCTCAGCTGGAGGAGGGAAGGCAGCATTACAGAGAGCTGGAGACAGGACACCCGCAGCTGTAAGGGAGTATGGAGTAGTAGAGTAGATGGACCCACATGCTGCCCGGTCTTGACTCCAGCAACAGGCTGAGCAGGGGTTGAATCTACATCTCTCACAGCTAAAAGGGTACCCCAAACCATTGGCTACTCAGGGGTGCATCCAGTCTTCTAAACTGCAGATTCTTTCCCCAGCAATGCATATTTTGTCCTCAAGGCCCACAGCTCCCACTCATTTCAGTGCCCACTCACCATCCATGAAAGTAATGCTGCTTATGTAGAGCATAGTTCCCCCCTAAGAACTTGAAGTACAGTCAACGCTTTTGAAACTGGTCTTAGTCTCCAATATTCTCACCTTCCAGGGTTTTCTTATATTCCTAGCAGCTTTGAAAGATTATCCTGGTGAGATGTTTCTTGGTTGGACAGTTCCAGAAGCAAGAAGCCAAAGGATGACACAGGAGGAGCTGTGATTTGACAACCCTTTGCCCTTGCCTACTGCCAGTGCAAGCATGGAGCTGAAGCCTCAGGTGGATCCAGCTATGGAAGAGAGATGTTGTTCAGGGATCAGGCACATTCATGCTGAACATGCTGATCTCTTCTTATCAAAGCAGAGATAAGAAGCCACTTGACTTCTCCATTCAATCCACACTTGGCCAAAACAACTCAAACCTCCTTGGAAGGCTGTGCCAGATGATGCCATTGAGATGCACATGTGCACAGGGGACACTAAAATCCCTGGCACAATGATAGTGTTTTGCCAAGGAAACCGCTTCAGCCTGCAGCTGTGCCAGAGCATTCCTCCTGCTCCAGCACTTGGATAGATACAGATGTCAATGCCTTAATGCTGGTCATCAGCCCACACTCTCACAGCTCAGGCACACTCCTGACTGTCAGCTCCTTGCTTTTCTTAGCAAGAGAGGGAGGTGGCTGCAAAGCCAGACTTTCCTTCTGCTGCACAGGGAGAGGGAGGAGGATTTTCACTTTGATACAAGAGCAAATGCAGAACCCTGAAGTAATTGCAAACTCCCCATCCTCTGCTGACACCTGCCCTCCAGAGTTCTTACAGAGTTTCCCAAAAAGCCTGACCACAGGTTCTTATTAAATCTGTATACCAGTCTCTTCAAAGTCTCCCAGGCCCAGCTCAAACTGGGAAACAGTGCCTGAAGTATTAACTCCCTCTGCTCCCCCCAGGCGAGGCGGGACACAATAATTAGCCTAGGAAGGGTCCATGAACCACTGCAGTGTGATCCACATCTTTACAGACCTGTTATGCATTATGGATACCAGCCACAGCAGCACAGGAGCTGCCACTCCAGACATGGCCCTGCTCTGCAGGGACAACATGACAAGCCATGAGAGGAAAAGCTCATGAAAAAAGCTGAGAGGAACAGAAGTTTCACATGTCCCCATTAACAGCACTGGAGTTAAAGAAGCTGGGCACTCCTTGGGTGTCAGCAGTCTGACACTGCTGCACACACCACTCTCACCTAACTAAAATCCTGGTTCACTGCTAGCGCAAGGTCCTTGTTGTCAGCAAGCATAAGGTAATCTTCAAAGAGGAACAGCTAAACAGCAGAGAGAAATGCTACCCAGGCAAATCAAAGCAGAGCTCTGGAACAGTCAAAGGCACCTGTGATTCTACTCATTAAAAGTCATCTTGCCTTTCAGCAGCTGTCCCAAGATACCAACAGAATCAAAGGCTATATCTCTTCCCACTACCTACATGGAGAATATCCATGTCATTTCCAAATACAGCTTAGAAAAGGGTTTAAAGTAAGAGATTGTTCCTTTTGGGGGTTCTGGATCAGATAATGATAATGGATTGCTCATAGGATGAAAGATCCCCATTCAAATTCCTACTGCAGGGGAATATGCCTGGTTTCCAGGATGGTGAGAACTGCCAGCAGGTCTGTTTCATCCCAACACCAAAAAACCCAAAGGTCAACTTTTGCAGAACTTATTTCCTAACTTTTCCTTAGCCTGTTGCTGCCTTATTCCCAAGTCCAGCTCCCAGCTAAATAGCCATGAGATGACAGCAGCTTTTGGTCATTTGGCTTGGCTGAGTGTGTGGGCATAAATCAACAGGCCACTCCACAGATCATTTCCAATAATTTATTTTGAGTCCTAATTGTATCCATTTGGAAACACTGAATATGATGCAAAATGGACAAACACATACACACACACACACCAGTCCTTTCAAAAAAAGATCACAAATGTTTCACAGTTTCTTCCTCAAGCTTAGGTTAAAAAAAACCCAGAACCCAAAACATCCCACTCTCCAGAGCCCATTGCTCTTCACATAAAGTTCCATAAAGACAAGATCTTGGGAGGCTGAATTCCCACATTTCAGAAAGAACCTCACCTGTCTGCAGAAAGATTTTTGCTGTCCAAACATCCTGGTAGTGGGGAAAAGAATCCTAGGTAACTGTAAAATTTTTCACTGAAAGGAATACATGAAAACACATCCATAATCACACACGCTTTCTGCCCTAATGAGGCAATATACATTCATATAGAAGGAAAAAACCAAGCACATTATTAAGACATTAGGCAGTGAGGCAGTATCCATTTTAACTTCAGAAGAAATTTTACAGCAAATGGTTTCATTAAGACACTTGAAAGCAACCTACTTTGAAAGGAAAAAAAAGCACCATCATAGCATGAAGGCTGAAATGTGATTAGGAGTCACAAGCAGCACCAGCTCAGGCTCACCAGTGACTTCTGTCATTTAAGGACAAGTTAAATGGAGAAACAGTCGATGTGGGGACCTGTGACTTGCCTACAAAAAACCACAATGCAGGAAGACACAGTTAGAGAGTGCCAAGCCACTGTTTACAGGCTGTATCTAATGGTGCACAGTTCTTACTACAGTCACCAAACAGTAGGGTGCTGGCATTTGGACATGGAGGGTTTAACACTACAACAGCAGCAACATCAGAACCCTGGCCCTTGAAAAGCTGCCTGGTCTGCAAAGTCCACACTATTTGTGAAACAACAAATGCCTCTTAAAAGGTCATGGTTAAAGCAGGATAAACTAATTTCCAACTATGGGCTAGCTATTACCAAAATCCTTCCCTGCGGCTGATCAGCTCTAGGTCCTCTCTTACACAGGGAAAACTTTTCAAGGGTCAGCAGGGTAAAGTTTTCTGCACTGCCAGGCACGCAGTTTTACAGGTAAGACACTGGTCCTCCCCTCGAAAATGCCACACATGACCCACAAGTCACCTGTCAAATGCAGGCTGTTCCCACTGCTCCAACCCCCAGGCAGCACAGATCTAGGCAGCTATTAACACAGCGAGCCCGAGGACTGACTAGGCCTAGATTTTAACATTTTTCTACCAGCATGGTCAATAACAAGCTCAGCAAAAAGTTACTCAGAAAAAAATTGTCCTTTAGTGCACCAGGTCACAACAGTTTGCCCTTGCTATAACTGCAAATGGGAGAGTTGCCCTTCAAGTGTTTCCTGCTAATTCTCAGGGCTGTTAAAAGGAGAGCTCCAAAGTATCCATCCTTTTAAGATGCCTTTTAGATATATCCTGTTACTTTATACTTCCCATCTCCCAAGACATTCACAAGGTAAATCCTCCCAAGAAGAAGACATGCCATTTAAGTCACCACTGCTATGCAGATTACAGCCATCTGAACTTCCTGTTCACTGGGGAATCAGCACTGCATTCTCCTCGTAGAAAAAGGTTGCAAGGCTGGGGTTTTAAGTGTCCCGAATGGTTTCAGTTCCCCCTGGAGTGCAAAAATAAAATTTACTTTAGCACTTAGCCCTCACTGTACTTGAGCGAGCTTGAACAACATATGGAATAGTTACATTAGTCCCAGGTCCTCCATTCCTAATCTGCACTCCAAAATCCATGCTGCCTGGGAGAACAGCACAGAGAGTCTGTGCAAGAACAGCACAGAGTGCAAGCAGTTCACTAAGAGAGAAGGGACAAGGCTACACTGACACACAGGCTGCAAGGTAGCAAGGAATCTCTGCCTGTAGGAGAAAGTGAGCACCACAGGGTCAGCTCTGCCAGGGAAATGATCTGCGATCTGCTCTGCTTTCTCCCAGCCAGGAGTAGCAGGACTCTGAGAAACCACTTATTTCAAACCTGCAAATGCTTCCAGAGCCTGTTCAGTTCGTGGGCACATGACTGATTTCTGTGCATACAGGGACAGAGAAGTTGGCTGTCTCCACTGTAGGGGTTCGTTTAGCCCAGGAAGTCATTCTGCCTCATATTCCCTAGCGTCAGCAGGATGAAATCTAAGATCACAAACCCCCTAGCCCACAGCATCCTTGTCTCCAGGGTTGCCAAGCTTCAGTTCATCTCAGCAGGCATCACAAAATGCATATGTGCCATGGAAACATTTACAGAAAACTCATGTGGAAACGTGGACTTTGTGTCAATTTGTACTCCTAGGGACAGGCTCCAACAACCAAACAGAAGGTTGTAGAGGAACAGTCTGTACAGTCTAGCTGGGTGTCTTTTTATTCACATTAGGGCCAGGGAAGCAGTCAGAAACCTCTCAGTGTATTTGGTTAGAGGCAGGAAGCAAGAGCTTTACCTACTTAAAAAGGATTGCTCACTGGATGACCAGAGGGTAAGAGGAAATAAGGGAAACTCTGGTAAGTCAGTAACTCTGCACAGACACATTCCAAGTGCAGCTGCTCATCCATTATCTGCTGGTTATGGAAAGTGCCACTTAAGGAAACCAAACAGTGCAAAGAGGGACACGGTCTCTACATTAAACTGGGACACATAATCAATAACATACACACCAAATACAGCAGGGATCTAAAGGGACACCCCCAACCCTGCTTTCTTTTGGCACCATGTACAGTCCATCCACCCTTCAAAGCTAATGCACAGCAGCACACAGAATTTGCATCACTCTGCCAACATCCCCCAGCTGCCTGCCATGCAAATGGAGTCAGGAGCAGGCGTGATCTGTGCCTCCTGCACACACATCTAAAAAAATCAGTAGCCAGGACAAGGCTCTTATCTCTGCTTCTGCATCTTAGTTCCAACATGTAACTCTTGTGCTGTGGTCTCCAGCTCTTCCAGCCAGACCTTTCACTGCAGGGCCTACAGCACACATAAAGGGTTTAAAACAAAAAGTAATAATAAATTCCAGCCACAAAAAAACCAGAAACCATTTCCATCAAAACCTTGTTATTTCAGCTGAAGCTCAAGTCCAGGCAATAATACAGTTCTAGGCTAATGAGAAACAAATGGCATTCTTGCAGAGCACACTCAACACATTAACATTCACCTGCCAGTACAGGTCATCTATCCCCAAAACAGAGACCTCCAACACATCCTCTTCCTCTCCCTACATACACAGAGGCTGATCTGTTCCTTGGCTTCTTGGCTTGAGAAAACAGATCTACAGTCAGGTAGTTCACAGTAACTGGGTTGATGGCAGATGGGATCACTATGGTTATTAGCAACACAACTGACCAAATGCTACCTACTAAAACAGTTAGTAGGACTGCCTACTCTCCCACAGACTGCCTTATCCCATGATGGAAGGTGAAAGGTAACTTCCATAAAGCTACAGTAACACTAGACAGACAGCACTCTTGTTTTGCCCTCAGAGTTCACTGTTGCATATTGCTTCAAAACATCTCCTTGGTATATTTAACTCCTGTTTCAAGTCACAATCCATAATCAGAGCAGAAACACTTTGAAGGAGATGAGCCAAGTCTTCAAACCAGCACAGACCCAGCCCTACAGGAATGTAACTCACAAAGGCACTTAATAGAAGCATGTACACAGCTGGATGGAATAAGAGATAGTAAAAACAAATAAATGCACCAGAGAGGAGAGCACTGCCCAGTGACTGCCTAGACAGTCTCTGTTAGCCAGACAGCCTGGCTTCTGCAGGGGTCCATCTGTTATCTGTATCCAAAGTTCATCCTCCTGACATCTCCAAAATGCTGCATGTAGATACAAACCAGGGATTCCTCCACCTTTGCAGGAACCAGTGCATGCTCTGAAGCCCAGCAGTGGGTTCCTCTTGATGCCAGGGTTCACACCTAATGAAAACTCAAGTTCTCAAAATCTTGTGCTCTTCTTCCTGTTTCCCACGGTGGAAAAAGGCAGCAGGCTCCTTCTCTCCATATTTGTGCATATGGCTTACTGCTTTGTGCATCCTATTGCTGGCTGACAGCACACGAAGAACCAACCATTCTGCCTGGGAAAACCTCTGATGTTGTCAGTGGGGGGACAGGTAGCCCATACACCGCCCACAAAGGAAGGGTGTGCGAGAAAGGAGTCCTAGTAGAAGGGGCCACTCCACTGCTAAAAAGAGTCAGTCAACATCATCTGCAGAAAGAGGGGTGTCACACGATGTCTTCGGCAGAGCGCTGAGGAGGAGAAGACCCCAGGCTCAGGAAATGGCCCCAGTTGCATAGGAATCCCCTGTTATACTGGCCAGTGTCTATCACTAACCCACCCAGGAGTCTGCGCCCAGTGTTGTCCCGCAGAGCCAGCCGAGCTTCCCTCTCAGTCACGTTGTAGCTGATGTTCAACAGCTGGATGAGGAGGATGTATCCCATGCCAGCTGTTACAATGGCACAGTACCATACACAGGTGAACGACAGAGCAGAGCTGGCAGCAGGGAAAAAGATGGGAAGGAAGCCATTTAGTTTTGGAGCAGCTGTTTTAGAGTGACTTTCCCTGGTAATCACTATCCTTTCAAATCCCTGTCTACATCTGCCACAGTGATCTCACTTTGCTGCTTTCATCAGATAATCCTTAAAGGCTTTCTCAAAATTAAAGCTTCAGGACTCACTTAATGAGGGCTTTTAGTGCTACCAGAGTTACTCCTGCATATTGCTATCTCACAACCTAGCTCTTTATTCTTCCTGCTGTAAAGAACACAAGGATGCTCACACTCAACAGGTCACGAGATGGAGTACAGAGGAAGGTAGAGTCATTTGTTCACCAGCCCTATGCTCTGCTCATCAGTGGTAGTGCTGGTCTCTGAACTCGTGTCCAACAGTTCTCAGCACCTTCCCTGCTGAATAAGGCATGTTGATGCTGTCTGTTCTAAACAGACAACTTGCAGGGACAGTCACTTGATAAACAGGGAGGAATGAGAGGGAAAGACAGCACGTGAATTCCTGACTGTCATTACCTGCATCTGGGGACATACATTCAAAGGTGTATCTACAGAAGACACAGTAAATAAATACTTCAAATCACAGCTCCTCCAACAACTTTTTCCAAATAAATGGTGAGCTCTCTCCAAGTCTCAGGCTGCCTACCTTGGCAAAAGCAGTGATGCACCTTTGCTTTCCAGAGTTTTTTAGGGAGGACTTTTTGTTCAGGTTTGACAGCTAACAGGAGGTAACCTGCCTGACCAAACCTGTTCCCACCCCAGCTCTCTCCCAGACATCTCACCTGTAGTCAGAATAGGCCCCAGGGCAGTAGAACAATGCCACAAATGGAGTTTGGCCCCTACAGACGGTGTGCAGGGTCAACATAATCCCATACACAGAGGTGAGCATGAAGAAGGAGAGTGCAAGGATGAATGCTTGATGGTTCTGCTCCCCTACGCAGCTGTTAATCCTCCAAAAGGAAAGAAGAGATTACTTTGCTTAAAAAAAGAAAAGAAACTGGCTTCTCTTTCCTCCTCCCTCCCCCCAGCTGTCAGAGAACCTAATTTCCAAGGTGCTTCCATACAACACAGGGTAAGAACTTTGAAATATGTTCAGAGAAGCTTTAGAGCTTTTTATAGAGAAGTTATAAACACAAGTCAATAGACTGGCAGCAGACTTTGCCTCAAGTTTTTAGCAAGTTTATTCTTTGCTGAGACACATCATACCCTACTGCTCCTTGTAGGGTATGATTATACCATCATACCCTTACTCCAGTGCTCCTTCCAGCACTGCATGCACACAGGCAGTTTTGAGTTCCCTCCCCCCAGGAGAGTACTAATAACCAAAAAAACCCCAGAGTCATGAAAGCCAGTAGAAAACTAAAGGCAATTCTGAAGCATGCTGTAGAAATTATTAGCTATCAGGTCAACCCACTTAGAATAAACAGTGCTTCTAACTATTCTTTAAAGGGGAAATACAAAGCTTTTTATATTTAAAGAATATTCCCAGGTCTTGCACATAGCAAAAGCGACCCTGTTTGACAGGGACTGTAAAAAAATGAAGCTAACTCTAGAAAGGGGGGTACTCAGAGAGAGAACACGCGTAGCCTCAGCAGTGCAAAACCTACCAGACACAGTGATGGTCCAGCCTTCTTACACACCTGCCACAAAGCCTGCAGTGCCCTGCTCGGGCTGGCCTGACCAGCTGGCATTTGGTGCACCAGTCCTTTTTCACACCTTCTGGCTCATCAGCTGCCATCCTGGTATAGCCTTTGGCCTCCCCATTCACAGCACGACTGCTGGCAGCACCATGGAGCCCGCTGGAGCTCCCTCTAACACTCCTGTTGGGCAAGACGTGGTGCGATGGCTTCTCATTGCCTGCTGGAATGGGAAGGTAGCCAGGGTCTTTCTTGGCTCGAGACAGGGCTGCGAGCATAAGGATTAACCCGCAGGTGAGAGCGACCACTTGGGAATGCTGCACGTGGCCCCGGGGAACCACCTCCTGGAGGAACACATAGTACATGTAGCCCAGGGAGAAGAGCCCCAGGCTCAAGAAGAAGAGGGTCCGCTCCTTCCTCCGGTGGGTGAGATAGTAGTACCAGAGCACCACCACGGGCAGGGACGTCAGGACGAGGAGCCCCAGCAGGAAGTGCAGGGCGGCAACGTGGAGCAGCACAGGCAGCAGGACGAGCGGCGGCACGAGGCTCACGTTGATCTTCACGGCCCCCGAGAACCACGGGACCCGCAGCCGGTCCGCGATGGTGTCGGCGATGCTCTCCAGCGCTCCCGGGGGCAGGGATTTGCACGCCAGCCACCTATGGAGCGGGGAAGCACAGCGCCGGCTGGCACCGGGGCACCGCGCTCCCCGTGCCCTTCCCCTGCCCTGCCCCGCTCCCGGCGCCTCCCCCTGCCCTCCCTCCCGACAAGTTTCCCGGGAAGCGGGGCGCAGTCCCGCTGCCCTCAGGGCGGGGACACCGCCGCGGGAACGGATTCGGCAGCTGGGCGGCCCCCGGGGGGTCGCGGCGCCGGTACCTGTCGCAGCCCTCGTCCAGCTCCTGGCAGTCGCAGCAGCACGCCGCCAGGTGGCTGCGCTGGCCCCGCCGGTCCACGTACTCGCAGCAGCAGAGCGGCTCGTCCATCGCCGCCCGCCCGGGCGCTCCCGGGGGCCGGGACGCGGCTCCCGCCCGGCAGCGCCGCCGCAGGTGCCGCGCGCCCGCCGCGCCCCCGCCCCGCGCGGCCCCGCCCACCCGGCAGTGCCCGCCCGCCATTGGCCGCGCGCGCCCGAGGTGTGCGGGGGGGCGGGGCCCGGCGGGGGGGCGGCCCAATGGCGGCACGGGGGGGCGGGGCCGCGCGTGACGCGGGGGCACCTGCCTTAAAGGGGCAGCGCAACAGGTGGCGGCCGTGGGGCGCGGGGGCAGCGCGGGGGCCCGGCCAGGTCTCGCCCCGCCCGGCGCCGCCGCTCCCGAGGCTGCGCTCACAAGGCTGGGAGAGTCCCCTACCTGCCACCCCGTGGAGGGCTGTGGCCCCAGGACTCTGTTTGTGGGACCCACACGTGCAACGTGCACCCTCCACCTACACCCCTCCCTGGGCTCGCACCAGCGCCACACAGGCTGAGCACCACAGAGCCAGCGCTGTCGCACAACCATGGGCCACCCCGCGGGCAGGCTGGCGTTCCACTGGCTTTGGGGTTTTTATGTTCATCTTCTTCCCTTTAACCCACCGAGAAAAAGCAGGTTTCATGTGCTTCAACGTGCTTCATCATCAGTGGGCACAGGGCGCTACAGAGCTGAAGCACAGACCTCGATGGAGGGAAAATACCGAGGGCTGAAATTTCTCTGGGAGAGCTAGAAACATATGGCAGAAGGCAGACTGCCAAAGCTTGCAGTGTGCAACAGATATCAAGCTTTTTCCTGTTTATTAATCTTAGGCATGTTCATCCTTAGAATGGTGCGTTGTTTTAAAAAGGTCCCCACAGCTAAAAAAAAAAATCATATGGAGATCCTGTGGCTGAGAAACCACCATCGTTCTTTTTCTCCAAAAGACTCTTCACTGATGGTCATTTTCTAAGTTGACATAAAAGGATGCGATTTTCTTGAGACAAGCCCTGCTCTCTGCTGAGGGTGTTCTCCCCCCTCTGGAATTTGCAGATCCATTAACCAGCAGTACAACTGCCCTTGTTCACTCACTACAGGATCCAAGAGCTGTGCACTGGTCGTAATCAAGACCCCCCAGGGTGGAGGGCTGGCAGGACAGAAAAGGCTGCCAAGCTATTGGGGAATGCAGAACCCAACTTACTTTTTCCACAAACCTTTATTCTGTACAGCTTTTGAGCCAAACAGTGAGGAGTCCAAAGGTGACAGTTACATTCCCTACCCCACAAGTCCTCACACACACATCTCTTCTTCCCATGTCTTGAACAAAAAGCTGATGTGGTATTAACTCTCAGTCCTGCTGCTCTGTGTCCTGTTCAAGTGGTCAAAGCTTCTTTGGAGCATGGAAAGGGAAGTCTTCAGCTGTGAAGACACAACCATCACAACCCCCCCCAATTACTTAAGTTAATCTCCTACATGAGTGAGTGGTATCAGGAAAATAATGTCTCCCTACTCTTTTTTTTCCCCCTCCAAGATTTCATGTGATTTCCTCCTCCCTGTTTCCATAAACAGTTGACTTACTGTGCTCTCCTAACAGCTATATCCTGTACAGTTTATAAATAGTAACAGTCCAGGATGATAAAGTCTTAACACCTCACCAGACAACAGTGCAGAAGATAAGCCACCCCACTCAGTTTTAGTCACAGATAATGTTCATAGCAAATACTAAGGAACATGGCAGCAAAATATGAATTTTCTTTTAAATACCTGGCCCTCCTAGTGCATTCTGGTGCACAAAATGTGTTTAGATTATTGACAAAACTCAGAAAACACAAAGTAACAGGCACTGTGTCAGAACTTCCAGGCAAAAAGTGTTATTTGGGATGAAAAAAGTGGTGAAATTCTCACTTTTTTTTTTTTTTTTTTACACCGTGTGTTCAAAAGGCACTTAACACTTCAGAATTAGGAATTGTTTGGATAGTAAGCAGAGAAAATGAAAAGGGCATGGAAACCATGCTGTGATCAAAGTGGTTAATTAATAGATTAACGGCAATACTGTGTGCAGAGGCACCTCGAAATAAGGAATATAAAAATGGTTTCTTTTTCTACCCACTCTTAATGCATACAAGAACATAGAGCAAACTGGTGATGGACAGAGGTACATATGAACTTCCCTCACAGCTTTCCTAATATTCCATCACATTTTAAGGTTTAATAAAGGAACTTAAAATCAGAACATTAATGGGTTGCAAGTTAAAACTAAAGCATGAATTACTGTCCCTCACTTACTGAGTTGAAATTTCAGCCAGGGATTTACCAGTCATAGACTTCAGGATCAGAGAGACAACAGCATTCAGCAAGTTACTGTAAAGAAGGATTAATTCTATAGCTATGGAGCCCCTCAGAAACATATGGTCTGCAGTTATTTATTTTTTACTGGAGATTAGGTGGCCCATTGACACCAAAGCTAAGTGAAGCTCTAGCCAATATCTAGAAGAGTAGTGGGGAGCAAAAGCCAGGATAAACCTGAACAAAGACACCCCATAATGAGGTGGGAAAATACTTAAAAAGTCTTAACATGAGTCCTAGAAAGCAAAGTGTTTTGAAACACTCCAGTCTTTGCTTTGTCATGATTCAGAACTGCATCAACACCTCTCATCAATACAAGTACTTGACAAGTTTTAAGAAAATTGACCGTGAATACTTAGTCAGAATAACAACAACAACAAAAAAAACACACAACAAACAAACAAACAAACCAACCACCAAACCGAAACCAAACCAATCCAAAACATCAGAAACATAAGTACTGCCTACTTACTAAATTCAAGCCTAGGGCAAAACAGATCAAGGAATCACGGAAAACTTTAGTTAGTACCAGAGGACATCAAACAAAAGGTATGATAACATATGGGAGAAAACTTGAGTTGTTGAGAAACAAGAACATCACCAGAGAAAGACTGTCAGACCTACCTGCTCAAGCATTTCAATTGAGTCTCTTAAGACTCCCTTTACATGTTTAACCTGTTCCTTATCATACTGAGGGATCTCTTCTTTTGATACCATTTCTGGAGATATGCTGAAAAAGATTGAGATTACATTAGAAACATGAAACAAGCAGCCTGACACCTTTTTAAAAACAACTGCTCTCTGCCACCCTTGCTCTGCCATTACCAAAACCATCCTTTTACAAGAGCCACAGAAAAAGCTGCCTGCAGTTGAATTCCAATCCCTGCTGCCTTCAAGATACTGCTTCAGACCTATGTAGACAACAGCCAATAAGAAAAAAAATGTGCTCACATTACATCTACAACAAGTTCTCACACTTTAGTGAGCAAAATCTTTCTTATAAATAAAGTTGTTCTAATCAGTTCTGAGATGGTCATTACAGGAGGTCACCACACCATTTCCAGACTCAACATAACGTTATGGTTTTTAACTTATTTATTGATACTGTATTCAAGAGAGGAAGCAACATCTTCCTGTGTCCGAATACAAAAGGCATGCAACATGTAAGTTTGAGGGAAAGATTTGCCAGGAAACTCACAGAAAGAAGCTAACAAGTTAAATGAATCTTTACATTTGAGATCATGCTGGTTCACACAGAATGAACACTTCGGTTCTGTGATATTCACAGAAGATGAGTCACAGCAGGGTGATAAATGCGAACTAAGGTTAATGTTCCCCAAAAACCAGCTTGTCAAAGGAGAAACTTGTTACTGCAAGATGCAGTCAGACATGTCCCTGGATCTCAACACAGACCACAGAAGTGCAGCAAGCCCCAGCAACTTATGAAAACTTGCCACTGAATTTCAGTGTTTAGAATTTATTTCTTTGGATCAGATTCTCACATAAGCTGAGGAAGAAAGCAAGCAAAGACTGTGAATTCAACTTACTTCAAAGAGCTTTCTTCCTGAAGCTGGACATGATAGAGGGACTGAGCTGCATGCTCTATCTTTGACAGTTTGAGAAACAGTGTTATATTCAGCAAGACCAAGAGCAGCAAACTGTAGAGAGAACAAAAATCAAGTCCCGTAAGAATTTCGGTTGCAATGCTAGAAAAACAAGATCTAGGCTAAAAACAGCTAAGGAAACAGTCATTCTGGGAGAAAAAAAGGTGTAGGGCAGAACTATACTGAAAATAGAGATCTATCCAAACAATTCTTAGCAGTTAACATTAAGCTGTGGAATAGGAACAAACAGAAAGAGCAATAATATCTCCTCTAGGAACTTTTAAAACTAGGAATTAGTAAATTCTAGACTTTTTTTTTTTAATAGGATCAGACCTAAGAAAATCTGTAAGGTAGAGTAGTTTGGCAAATCAGCATTTTCATTCCAAGTGTCATTTCTAAGTCAATTCATTCCCCTCCTATACCCACGTATTCCACTCATTTGTTAAATTAGGTTAAGATCTATTATGCTACATGCAATGTTAACATGCAAAAGAGGAACAGACAAAACCAGATAAAGACTAAGATGAGCTTGAGTCAAGCCACATTTTAATGCAAGTGAGTACTTACAAGACACTCATTACTACAATGATGGTGGTGGTCCTACTTACTGCATCTCTTTTCCTTCCTACAGGGCATGGAAGAGAAGGAGGTTAAAAAGTACTGAAGAACATTCCTAAAGGATGCCTGCAGATATATGTCAGTGCCCAACACTTCACAGAGAATAGCTCAACAGCTTCTGATGGAAAAAAATAACAGATCATGTGGGTGCACAGGATCATCTCCAACATTCACCAAGGCATTTTTGCAGCCATCTCCAATAAGTCAAGCTGAACAGTCAGGCTCTCCCATCAGAATTCCCCCTACCCCAGCATGCTGGGGACAACACAGCACTGGGGCATGGTACCACTAAACATAGCCTGAGAAGGCTACAGTCCATCCATTACTAACATGCCTTCACCACATATACTGCTGGTCACACATGAGCAGAGACAGGCTGCAAAGTGGCTCTTTGCTGCTTGTTCTCATGCTCACATTAATCTTTCTGACAACCAGTGCCAATCAAGTTCTCCTGTGACTTGTCCCATCATTACTGGCTTG